ACATACATACATACATACATACATACATACATACATACATACATACACACAGACATACATACATACATACATACATACACACACATACATACACACATACACACATACACACACATACGTACATACATACATACACACATACACACATACACACATACATACATGTTTTCTGTAGTTTTATGTTGTATTAAAATGTACTTAGAACACACGCTTATAGACATGCATGTGGATGTGAATGCCGCTCGCCACACCGCGACCTAAGGAAACCAGATTCCGAAGAGGAAAGGTCCCTAAACGAAATTGAGGCCTAAAACTCAAGTCAGAAGCGATTGACCCAGGACGACTCGGTGGACCAGCCGGAGGTGTCGGAGGACGATGAGGACCTCGGCCCTGACCGTACTGGTCGTGAGAGAAGTGGAAGAGGAAGAGACTGAAGATCTTCTATGAATGCCGGAGCGAGGGGAAGATGAGCCACCGGGGACTTCGTCGTTGGAAGAAACAGGAGTTCAAGACTTGAGAGCCCAATGCAATGAAGAAGAGATGGACGAGATCCGGGTGTGCATGGTGAAGAATGAGGCCCCCCACAGTTGTCATGACCCTGGACTCAGGTGCAGATGTCTCTGTGGCACCTGAGGAGTACTATGAGATGGGCATCCCCGGCAATTCCCGCTGAGTGCAGATGGCACCCTGAAAAAAAGATGCAAACCCCTGCACGACTAGAGCGCAATTCCTTGGTGATGGACGTCCAGGTCTGCGCAGTTCGAGCTGATGACATCGAGGGTGAGCCCATGACGGTTGAGAATGAGGGCAATGGGAATGACGGGGGTGCCAAAGGAGAACGGGGTCAAAACAAATGACACCGTGACACAGGAGAGTGAGGTCCCTGAGAATGACCACGACAAGCCACAAGCCTGTTCAGCAGGAAATGGAGACCACGTTGAGGTCCCGGAGGGTGATCGTGGTGTGAAACGGACAGCTGAGCAGGTCGAGGAAACAAGAAGAATGGAAGAGCATCAGACCTTGGCCTTGATGCAGGAGCTGTCGGAGCAGATCCCCACTCCTGGAGGAGATCAACCAGTTGAGGAGACACCCATGAAGAAGTCGAAGACGGTGGAGGCAGAAGCTAGGGAGTCAGGGTCGCCCGGATACACTACGGAGGAGTCGGGTGACGTGGTGGTGAAGCAAGCAGTGAAGATGGAAGAGTGCAGGCACGAATGGCTCGGTGGAGAAACAGGAAGTTGAAGCAGAATGAGGTGAAGAGTGAGCCTGTGGAGTTGTCAGACAGCCCTGGGGAATGAGGAGCAGCATGTGTTCCCAGTGCGGGGAGAAGGACGAGCACTACAGGGCTACATCTCCAGGGAATTGGCATTGTTGGAGAAGGTTCCTGGATGGCATGCTTTGCCAAACGGGACCGTTGCGCATTCAAGCCCGCAGGCCACGCACTTCTTGGGCCCGAGCTTCTCTTTTGGCACCGAGTGGTGTGGGCGAATGACACTACTCAAGAAGAAGGACAACGGTGGTGCCTGGGAGCAAGTTGAGAGCTTGGCGGCCTACCAGGACACACCACTTCCATTTCGTCCCATACCAGGAGGACCACGGCCTGTGTGGCTCCAGGACTGATTCGAGACTACTTCGTCCTGAATTCGGGCGTGCCTGTGAGCCAGTACCCTTTGTTGCAATTGCCGTGGACGTGGAGTTCATAGATGCTGATGAGTTGAGGATTCAGATCGATGAAACATGGTTTGACACATAAGCCAAGTTGAAGGACCTCCAAGACATTTGCAAGAAGCTTGGTTCAGGATCAAAGATCAAGGTGCTGAGACGGCTTCAACGTTACGAGCGCCAGGAGGAGGAGAAGCTGGCCTATGAGGTGGCACAACGACTCTTTGCAGAGTTTGGTGCCAACAGTGTGTGGCCACTAGGTCAAAGGAAGGCCCACGCACCAAAGATGAGCAGGGAGATCGAAAAAGGATCGTGGACGGCCAGCGATCAGTTTCGACTATGGCTTCACCTACACGACTGGACAAACAATGGGGAACAGCTCTCTATGTGGCAGAGTCAAAATCCAAAGCCACACTTTGCATCCCTGTTCAGGGAAAGGGCAGTGCATCGCTCAAGCAGGTCGCTGAAGAGCCACACGCTTCAGCATGCAAGTATGCAACACACGGCCCATCATCTTCCAATCGGATGGGGAGAGAGCAACCAGACAAATATTGAGGGCCATACAGCATGCACGTGCCACCCTAGGCCTGACCACTGAGATCAGGACCACCTCCAGAGATCGGCATGCTTCCAATGGGCAGGCTGAGAGGACAGCGCAATCAGTCCGAAAGCTGGCCAACACTCTCCGGCAGTTCGCTGAAGAGAAGACCGGAGTGAAACTGACAGGTGATATGCACTGGAGCTTCAGACATGCTGCGTGGTTGATGTTGCGGTACCGAGTCATCAATGGCGCCACATCCTTCGAGTTCCTCACCGACGGGAGATATGTGGGCAAGGTGGCACTATGGGGAGAGACCGTGCTGTTAAAGATGTGGCCTCGTTCAAGCACAAGGGCGGAAGGGTGTCTGGGTCGGAAAGAGCTCATGGAGTGATAGCCATATTTGCCTTACGAGAAGATCCATTCGGCGGCTACCTGATCAATTTGATGGTGCAGGGCATCCTCATGAAGGAAGCCAAGATTGTGGGTGAGCAGGTGGCCATTGGCATGTATGGACCAGCAAGTGGAGCAGCAACTCCTGGAGTGACACCAGCAAGAACACCGGCACTTCCAACACCAGGCAACAAGCCAGGAGGCACCAAGACACCAGGTACCAAGACTCCCACAATTGTGCCAGTACCAGCAACACCTGCTGTGCAACGCCAACAGCTCCGGTGAGAGGCAGTGAACCTGAATCCAGACCACTGGATCCAAGAAGCCTTCAGCGAATTCCATTGGCTGAGGCTGAGGAAAGCCCCCAAAATCCCGGAGGCCATGAGAGGTGAACCAGCTGGCAGCTTCCCTCCAGGTGCGCCCGAAACGGCAGAGAATGGAGGAGGTCGTGGGGAATCTTGCACGCCTGGCTTTGTACACGCTCGACGTGAAGGACGCCTTCCTGTTGATGGATCAGCCGGAGGACGAGTGGGCCATGATCATCACCGAGAATGGCCAATACAAGCTGAAGAAGAACCTTCCTGGCCAACGAAATGCAGCTGCCCAATGGTTCAAAGGCTTCTGCAAGGTGGCAAGAGAATATGGTCTGGTGCAAGATGTGACATGAATGAATGAGAGCCGGTTGTTCCTCACCACCCACGTGGACGACCTGCTGTTGATTGGAGATGAGAAGGCAGCAGACGGACTCATCGACTTCGTGGAGAAGGGTGGAAAACTGAGAAGCGTGGACCCCTGTATGCAGGCAGCTTTAGCTATTTGATGGAGATCATCGAGAAGGGGATCACGATTCGCCCAGATCAGCAGCACATCAAGGAGTTGGCCACGCTGACGAATGTGTCATGGACGTCCATTCGCGGGGTGTGTGATCTGCGTGACAAGCCCCCTTGGCCTAATGGGCAAGGCATCGGACTTCTAATCCAGAGGGGGTGCTGCATGTCAGTTGCTATGACATGGGACGTGCTTCTACCACGACCACTGATGCTACTGTGATGGCATCGATGGCAACGATGAAATCCACCACCAGACCACCGATGCTACGCTCTACTTCATCATCCATCGACTTGCGCGCTGCGGCCCACACCAAGAGCCAGAAGCTGGAGCCGGCCTTGGCAATGTCCCCAAAAGACACGGCCTCAAGGCTCCCCAAGACTGTGCTTGCTGGCCTGCACCATGACGCGCGCGCGTGGGACCCAAGGCCCGCTTGCTTGAGCAGGAGACTGATTGAGTTATGTTGCAAGTTTTTGCTACTTCGGCACTTGCACCTAGGTCTCGAAGCCGCAATATGGCTTCTTTGGCTTGACTCTCGTGTCACGGTGGCACATCCTTCCAGCCTCTCCACGCTGCTGGAGGCCACGGAGGCCTCACTCTCCCGAGACGAGGCCCTTCCAGCCTCGCCACGCGGCTTTATTGCCTTGACTAGTGGACACACGCTGACTGGGCCTGTGGAAACTGGCCTCAAGGCTCCCCAAGACTTTGCCTGTTGGCCTGCACGCGCGCGCGCGTGGGTACCTCTGGTGGTCAAGTTGAAGATTGGGTCATTTTATGCAATAAGATTCCACGTTGCCAAGGCAGCTGGACCCAGACCTGACCTCTGTATGCAAGGCAGCAGATCCTCAACTTGATTGGAACAGAATTCCATTCGTGAAACCAAGAAACCGTTTCAATTCTGACTGCAGGCCGTGGCTGGGATTACCATGGAATATCAACCAGCCCCTTTTTCAATCTCACAGATGTTCATTCCTTCCCCTCACACCAGACCGCCGGCCCGCTTGCCTGCGCAGGAGACTGGTTGAGTTGCAGTTGACGCAGCTCATGTTGCAAGTTTTTGCTGCTTCGTTCAGGTCTCGAACACTTGCACCTAGGTCTCGAAGCCGCAAAATATGGCTTCTTTGGCTTGACACTCGTGTCACGGACAAGGCGTCGGACTTCTAATCCGAAGATTGTGGGCTCGAGTCCCACACAGGGGATGCTGCATGTCAGTTGCTATGACTCATGTGACGTCCACCCACATGTGGGCGTGGTGCTGCAAAAGTTTGTTAAAAGCGTTAGGATAAGAATGCATCAGCCGGGAATCGAGCCCGGGTCACATCGATGGCAATGATGTATTCTACCACTAGACCACTGATGCTTCTGTGATGCCATCGATCACTGACACGATGTGTGTCCCAGGCCAGGTCAATCGAGGCGACCTAGTGGGCCACTTGGACTTGGCTCACCTAGACACTGGCCAAGCAGAGGCCATCCAGATTGCAGAGAAGAAGGCCTGGTTGACAGCCTTTGTAGTTAGAGTGCAAGATGCGACAAAGAAGCCAGGTATAGTGGGCTGGATGTCAAGGCATTGGAAAGCCTGACGCCCCCAAGGGCACGCGTGTGATTCAACTTCGTCATCGGCTTGCGCGCTGTGGGGGACGCAAAAGAAAGGAAAGCAGCAGCCTACACCAAGAGCCAGAAGCTGGAGCCGGCCTTTGGCAATGTCCCTAAAAGACACGGCCTCAAGGCTCCCCAAGACTTTGCTTGTTGGCCTGCACGCGCGCGCGCGTGGGTACCTCTGGTGGTCAAATTGAAGATCCCTGTCAATGGATCATTTTATGCAAGAAGATTCCACGTTGCCAAGGCAGCTGGACCCAGACCTGACCTCTGTACGCAAAGCAGCAGATCCTCAACTTGATTGGAACAGAATTCCATTCGTGAAGCCAAGAAACCGTTTCAATTCTGACTGCAGGCCGTGGCTGGGATTACCATGGAATATCAACCAGCCCCTTTTTCAATCTCACAGATGTTCATTCCTTCCCCTCACACCAGACCGCCGGCCCGCTTGCTTGGGCAGGAGACTGGTTGAGTTGCAGTTGATGCAGCTCATGTTGCAAGTTTTTGCTGCTTCGTTCAGGTCTCGAACACTTGCACCTAGGTCTCGAAGCCGCAAAATATGGCTTCTTTGGCTTGACACTCGTGTCACGGAGGCACATCCTTCCAGCCTCTCTCTCCATGTGGTGGAGGCCACGGAGGCCTCGCTCTCCCGCGACGGAGGCCCCATCCTTCCACCCTCTCCACGCTGTCGGAGGCCACGGAGGCCGCCGCAACCCGGGGCGCTATAATACTTAATTAGGGGACCCCATGGGCCTCCCGAACGAAGGTCTTTTCCTTTGACCGCCGCTTCCCATAAAAGAAGGTCTTTTCCTTTGACCGCCGCTTCCTTTTCATGCTGGCAGCCGGTCTTTTCCTTTGACCGCCGCTTCCTTTTCACGCTTGCCACCCTGACCGCTCAAAGTCTGGACTAGAATTGGAGGGGCATTGGATCATGTCCCCAACCAGCAGCCTCTTTAGCTTAGTTGGTAGAGCACCCGCTCAGTA